ATTGTAACTACAAGTTCAGTAAGAGTCCTATTCTTTCTTTCTGCTTTACCATTCATTTCAGGAGAGTATGGAGCAATCGTTTCGTGTATAATACCATGTTCAACATAAAAATCATTAAACAAGCTAGAGTCATATTCGGTTCCCCTATCACTGCGATGTCTCTTAATTTTCTTGTTAAATTGATTCTCAATTTCAGTTACATACACCTTAAACATGTCAAGCGCTTCACTTTTATTCTTCATTAGATATACATAAGTATAATCAGAGCAATCGTCAATAAAAGTGATAAAATAACGTTTATTATTTCTAGTTAAACTTCCATCTAATTCACATATATCAGAGTGTATAAGATCTAGGGGGTCAGATTCTTTTATAATTGATTTATGTGAAGTTTTTGTTATTTTAGCTTGACTGCAAAATTCACATTTATTGGAATCATTAACATTTAGTTTAGGGATTAGGCCTATGTTGCTTGCATTAGAAATGATTCGTTTATTAACGTGACAAAGTCTACCATGCCAAATATTGAAGTCACACACAGAGTACACAGAAGGAGAAATTTTATTCAAATCAACATTCAACTTAAACATGCCATCAGTGGTGTACACTTTTCCAACAAAAATACCATTCTTAGTGATGGTGTACAAATCTGCCCCTAAAGTTTGACTAAACCCAGCCTTATTTAAAAGAAAACCAGAAACAATATTCTTCCTAATTTCAGGAACATGCATGACGTCCTTCAAGATCAAAGTCTTTCCTAAAGTGAACTTCAGCTCAACATCTCCAATTCCAGCAACATTAGTGGCGTGAGCATCTCCCAACAACATTTTCTTATTTTCAGTATTCATGTATGTCTTGAACATAGCACGATCATAGCAGACATGACGAGTGGCGCCAGTGTCTATCCACCAACCATCACTTCCACCAACCATGTTGATTTCAGTGATCATGGCAATGAGTTGCTCATCAGTCAGGTTGACCTGAGCATTTGAGCCAGCTGCAGGTTTAGGCCTGCTCCTAGATTTCTTTGCCATATGGCCCGGTTTCCCACAGTTGTAGCAAGAAAAAACCGGAGCATCATTTCTTTGAGGTGGTGGCTGTTGCTTAGCAAATGGAGCCGATGGGGCCCTAGAGGGATTCCCATTCTTAGTTCGGTTCATAACATTGCGGTTCTGATTCTTTAAAGGTTTGCCCGTAGGCTTTAGAACCGCACCGAATTTCTTTTTGTTGTTAGACACAACTAAGACTTCTTCTTTCTGATCTTGTTTCCGAGCCTCCTCTTCAATTCGGAGGCGAGTTATCAGACTCTCGATTAAAAATTCTTTTGTTTTGTGACGAAGCACATTTTTGAAATCTTTCCAACCAGGGGGCAGTTTGTCAATAATTACAGCAATTTGAAATTGTTCATTGAGGGGCATACCTTCTGTAATAATCTCATGAGCAATCTTCTGAATTTCGTGGCTTTGAGCTTCCACCGACTTCTCATCCACCATCTTGTAGTTCAAGTAGCGGCTGACAGCAAATTTCTTCGCACCTGCTTCTTCAGTATCATATTTTCTTTGCAGAGCCTCCCATACCTGTTTAACAGTCCTATAGCTACTGTAGTAGTCGTACAGATCATCAGCAAGGCTGTTCAGAATGTGATTTTTGCACAGATAATCATTCTCGTGCCATAAGGCGATTTCTTTTCGGAGCTGTAGATTATCTGCTGCAGCCTTAGCTCTTGCAGCATCTGCTGCAGCCTTAGCTTTTGCAGCATCTGAGTCAGACATTTTGGAAATCCCGTCTGAATCTACAAGTGAGTTACCGTTAGGTAGTTCAAATGATGCAACCGGGATATCCTCAGTCAGAACGTGGGCAACCTTTTTCAGAGTTAAGAAAAATTTCATCTTAGCTTACCAACGTTTGAAATTGGAACCCTCAAACCTGAAAGGTTTGTCAGAGACCGAAGCGGCCGCAGTAGTACGATAATTTCCTCAGTTGCCATGGCAGTTATTAAAACGTCTTAAATTTTTGTTTTCAGATTTAAAAATTGAGTTTGGCAGAAGGAAATTATCGGGACGAGTCGCGTACTAGGTCGCTTTCGTTAAGACGTTTCGTTGTACTGCCAAATTATGCAAAGCAGTCGATTTACGACGACGCCTCCAAGATAAAACAGCCCGTTCAAAAAACTTACGATTATCAATTGCACACTGATAAATCGCTCTAGAAATACACCTTTCTAAATTGGTATCTGGCGCAAATAACCAGTCAAGAAAAGAAAAAAATTTAGATGAAGAGAATAAGGGAGAGAAGAAGGAAATCAAAATTCGTGTGAACTTGTGAAATCCGATGTGCTCACTACTGAGTTTCTACCCTGTATTTATACCCTGTATTTATAGGCAGCTACCTGCACCTGAGTGGGGAGAAATTCGTGGTGAGTGGAGAAAATTGTGGGAGAATACTGACCAATTATTTTCTTAATTAATTAATATTTATTATTAATTAATTTTCCACCGAATTATATTAATTAATTAATGATAATTAAATTATATAAATTCGGGCCTAAAAAATAATTTCATCTAGACCGGACCGGACCGAGCCGAGCCGAGCCGGCCGGTCGGACGGCCGGCGGCTGCGGCGCTCGCGCTTGTGTCTTGTTGGTCATGGGTGTGTCCTCACTCCTTTCACAAAATTGGCTGCCCTTTAGGGCCCAACCCAATAGACAAAGTTGGAATATATAAACACTACTAATATTTCCATTCCCTTCAATGTGAGACTAAAATGAATCTTTTCAAATTCACTTCTATATTAGTTCTCATTTGTGTTCATTTATTGCTCATTAATTGTCAACAAATGTTTCCAATTCCCACTCTAATTAATTAAAGTTCCAACAGTCACCCCAAAGAGAGAAAATATCCATCACCGTTCATTTTATCACGAGTTGCTACAACAGATCTCAGGGATGGATTGCAAGTGCATAAAATAAAAAATTTCATTGAAAAACAAATATTTAGTATCTTGTATGAGACCTAGACATGGAAAATAAAAATTCTCATTGGAAAACAAATTTTACAATGTATTTTTAGTATTATGTGTAAATAATGTAATTTAAAAAAAAAAAAAATCTTATTCACCTTGGTTATCTTCGTGACCGAGGGAATAATTAACCGTTTCTTTTACTATATTCAACGCCCATAAACAAATATTTGTCGTCCTTTTAATGTTTATCAACGCTCAAGAATCTGTCATTAGTGATCCGCGTGAAATCTAAAGGACATCCGTTATAAAAGCATGTTGAATATTGAAAATCTAATCTAAATGGAACATGAAGTGCTTGAAACATAAAGACGCTTGAAAAATTTCTTTAAGATGGATTGCAAGAGGAAAAAGTTACTTGGGTTTAAGGTTTGTTTTCTTAAATATTTATTTGAGCACAAAATAATATATTTGAAGATTAATTTTATTTATCTAACCCTTATCTTCTTTTGCTTCAAAATCAAATGCATGAAAAGCCTTGGAGAATATATTTGCACTAACATTTGATCTTCACCCACCTAGTGAATTTGATTTTTATTTAGATCTATAAGAAATTTTATTTTTATTTTAAAATTTTGTGTAAACAATGTAATATTCGGAGTAAACAATGTAATATTTTGAGTAAACCATCTAACAATTTTCTTTAAAAAAAAGAAAAAAACTTACCCATCAGTTTTATTTGTAAACTAAAAGGTAAGATAAACTAATTTTGAAATAATAAAAGTGCAGTTGTTGGGGTTCGAACCCATGTCCATATAACTTTACCTTTCTGTTTTAATTCTACTGAGGTGATAAGTGGCGAGTTTTCATGTTATCCTTCGTTACCTCGCTTCTTTATCGAGGTATTATGCATTTCGCGTCTGAGGTAAAAATTTTTTTTTTTATAGTACTGTTTGTCGCAAGACGTGTTTGGATACATTTGGAGACCATGTGATTCATCGTAAGAAATTTTCAAGCTTTAAATACTTACATGACTTTGTTAGAGGTGTCCTATTGGATATATTTCGGCAGATTAGAGTATATTTGAAGAAAAATGCATTTATGAATTTCTTAATTGACTCACATGAAACGGTATCGACACTTATGCCAATAGATGTTCTTGTGTAGGGGGTTGATAGAAAGAAAATATGCCTATGTGAATTTGACTGAAGTTTCTCCACCAATAAGACTGAAGAGTGGGGGTTTTACTGTGAGACCGACAACTTTCAAAATTGCTTCAAGTATTATGGACATACATAAAAAACATGTTCCAATAATCAACATGTTTTCATACCATTTATCTTTGATACTTTAAATTTTTTAACACCTAACATGCCGATCTTTTATAAATTCTTGAAAAGCTCTTGCATAACAATGTCACATTTTCTAAATTAATTGATCTACTTGTTAAGGGAATAGATGTTATCATAACGGCAGAAATTATTGAGCATTTGTCTTTATTTCTATATAACCCAATAGATAGACATGGTTGTAAATATATTTTAATTTTTAAAAAAATATATATTGATTTTCAGGACCACGTGCGAGATCTATATTCAAAATTTTCAGATATTACAAATAGGGACCAACGTTACTAAAACACAACCATTTTAATCTATTTTATAAAAAACTTTTTTTGACTGGTTGTTATGGGTGTTAATCCTACTGGCCAAACTATGTTGATAGAATGCAATAAAACTATTTCTTTAAATTAAATTAAATTAAATTAAATTGATAATTGTGAATGGATATTAAACTAGTGGAGTGCGAGTTTCAACCCACATGTTTTGGATATATGGTACAGAAGTTGTTATGGAACTTTATCTATAACTATATACATGCACTTTCTTGATCCTTCTCTAGTTGATTTAAAGACTTTTCATTAAACTTGTAGTGTTATTCTGTAAATACATTCTATACACCAGTTTCTCTCATTACACCATTTCAACATCATGGTGGTTTTTTTTTGTTGACAAAATTAACACCATATATGCAAATGCAATTCATATTTCATAATGATAATCAATGTTGGAAATCCTTTTAGGACTACTTGCGTTGTGATCATCTTCATCTTTGACACTACTCAAGACTGTTGTTGCATAAACGTTGTCGAGTTGAACGTTTCTTGTAGTTGTTGTGCTTTGGAGTTTAATACTGGTTGTCTGTGGGCCAGGGCCATACCCTCCATTTCTGCTTCTATCAACTTGTTTTGCTTTATATTGATGAATAGCACGTGTTCTGAACATATCAACGAAAACAAAAGATTAGATCATGTTTATGCATAATAAGAATATATGATTACTGAATGAAAATATTAGTCAAATATTTATATTTACTTACATGGTAATAGTCATAGGTTTTGTAGAAAAAGAATTAAAATTGGTTGTTCGAAGCAGTGGCATTTGTATGAAACTAGTAGCCGCAAGAGCCATGAGAAAGTGTTTTTTTTTTTAATCAAACTTGATATTCTCCTTCTTAATTTCAGATTCAGAATCCAGAATCAGGCTGCTTGTATAGTAGTAAATGTTAGTGTGTTCTAGGTTTAATTTATAGGAAATGAAGTATGTAGGAATTATTCAAGACAAATACAACGCGTAATTTTCAAATGTTCAATCTTGAACCCTTCTCTAAGGGTTGGTGAACTCTTTCTTCTTACTAGTGCCACTTTATTTGACTCAGCCCATTATTCTTTTGTTTTTTCCTTTATTTTTTTTTATAGGCATAAGAATATATTCAAAAATGGGGTGCTAGGGTACCCAACCCGATTACAAAATTTAAAACTGTCTACTATGATAAGATTCAATCTTACATTTACAAATAAACTCGGGAGTATTTTATTCAATTGTAATAACTACAATGATCCGATTGTTTGAGTAGTCACCACCAAGAATTAGGTATAATTCTATGTTGCAAAAGGACCGAATCTCCAATTTTATCATTAAAAAGAATTTGATTTCTAGAAAATCAAATATTCTAACAGACAATACTCCATACTCGCATTGCATTTGGAATTGAGATCTTATTTTTCACCTTGTCAATCCAAGATCGCATGTGTTCATAAATTTCCGTTTTGACAATGTTGTCCACACCAAACCAGACACATATATAATTCCAAACAGATTTGGTTTTAGAGCAGGAAAAAAACAAGTGATCAGTGTACTCGTCAAAACGAAAACAGAATACACATACCCGATCATGAGGGTTGTTGATTATCCCACGGTTCCCAAGGTTTATGCGCGTAGGAATTCTATCAAGGATCAATTGCCACGCAAAAACTTTGACTTTGACCGGTGAATTTGAATTCCACATCAACTGTAATGACAGTTTCGTGTTGTTGTCTATTCTGCTGCTCATACGCCTCTTCAATATCAACTCGTAATAATATCTTGCTGTGAATTCTTTCGTGCTCAAGAAAGGCCAAAAAATTTCATCTGTTATGTCTGATCCGGTTGAATGTCCCTGAGTATCAGTAGCAGCACCTCCCGCTGTTGTTTTAGACACAACTCATCACCAATATCACCTGTATCGAGTTGCCACTGCCAAGAGTTATTCATCCAAGCACCCCTTTGATGAATGCTTCCATCTTTCAGGTTTGACAAGTTGAACAAATCAGGATATAGCATTTGAAAGATTGATTCTCCCAACCATCTTGATTTTCAGAATAAAATACGGCTTCTGTCACCAAACTTATGAGATAATAATGCTGTAAATTTATTTTCAGAATTCTCATTGCACCAGGACATTAAGTTCATCCACCAAGCAGAAGACGGTTTGTTCCAATTGTTGGAATTTTTTGACATAATTGCTGTACCTACATCTCCGTATCTACTTTCAATAATTCCCTTCCAAATCGCATCTCGTTACATTAGAGATCTTCACATCCATTTGGATGAGTTTTATTGAAAAGGTCAATCTCTTTGATCCCCAATCCACTTTCTTCTTTAGTCTTGCATATCCTTTTCCCAACTAATCCAAGCGATACTTCTCGTGTTTTTTCCTTTTATTTCAACTGGTTTTTGCTAAATATAAAAGTATTTCTATTATTTACATCCTCTGTCTTAAATTTCAAGTTATTTTGCCAAAAAATTATTTGTAATTATAAGTTATTTTGTAATTTTAATGATATTTTTTTTTAATATATCTTATATTATTTATTTCTTTTAATTTCTCTTTTGTATGTAATAAATAAAGAATAATATTGTAAAATTATATTTAATTTGTCTTTCACATATAATATTAATTATGGTTTTTAATTAATATAAAATGTTTAAAATATCTTATAATTTAAGATCGTGGGAGTAATAAGACAAAGATTTCACTTGAATACTATTATTTATTCTTAAAATTTGTATTGTTACACTTATCATTCACATTGATACGGCATTAATTCTTCAAATTGGAATGTAGATTGACTTTGTACTCGTTCATTATCTTTTCAAAATTTTCAAAGAGTTAGACCGTTGAATTGGTTGGTAGTAAAATCTTGCAGCTTGTAACTTAGTCCAAAAAAAATTATAATATATATATATATATATATATATATATATATATATATATATATATATATATATATATATATATATATATATATATATATATATATATATATATATATATATATATATATATATATATATATATATATATATATATTGTTTTGGACTGGGCCAGAGGTTGCCCACCGTCAGGCACGACCCAACCCAGCTCTCCGTCGGGGAAGGCCCAATGAAGGCTCAATCCTCGAATGTCTACTAGGAGCTTTCACACGTCTTCCCAACGGGCCTCACGCACCTCCACGCAGGGACACGTTATCATGCAACTATCTATCCACCGAAGATCATTGGGCATTTGACCCACGACGAAGACAACATACTGGTCTTCCCTACGTCACGTAAGCCTTGACAGTTACTCGTATTGGACCTTGCAATCCACCAAGTGCAAAGTAACCGTTGGCCCAGCGTTGGGGGCATATTATAAATACTCTCTTTCACTAGAGGGTCAGGTATTCAATTCTCTACGTACTTTCTCTGTACTTACTTTTTCTACTTTGTCTCTTACTTTGGCATCGGAGTACCTTGCAGGTACACCCCCTTCTCTTCTCCACCATCGGCAAATTAAGGAGCTCACAACGTGTTGCTAGTTGTTGATCCTTGTCTGATCCGATAAGATCAGTGGCGCTGTCTATGGGAAACTTGCTTCCCCGTTCTTCTTTCTGAAAAAAATCCAAGAACCAAAGCATACCTCAACCTCCGTTGATCATGGTCAGCCCACACAATGAAGATAACATCCATAAAACCGCCTTCACCCATTCACCAACGCCGACGATCACGATCCCAGCGTGACCGTCCACGTCGAAGAAGGCGACACCAGGGATGGGCGCACCGCCTCACCCTCCCCCGACGACGCGACCTAGAACGCTGCCCGACGCTTTGACAACCCAGTTGTCTTACAACTAATTCTTGTGCTGCCTAACGCCGACCCGACCATGGTGGCTCTATTTGCGGTATTCAATCAGACAAACCTGATGATTTTCCAATAGAACGAGCGGATCAGAATGTTAGAGAAAGACCGAAAATCACGCTTTCCCCCGCTGAGACATTGTCCCCCGATTTCTCGCAGCCCTTCCCCGCGACAATGAGAACCTGTCCTTCACCTCCCCAACAGAGGCCACAACATGATGTTTCTCAGAGTCCCTCTCTACGACAAGTCGGGTGTCATCCCCGACTGGAACGACCACAACCTGTGGCCACCCAAAAGCATGGCCGTTTTGATCTCCAGAAGGAGTGACGTTCCCTAGCTCCCAAGAGAAACAGAGCTGATGGGGATGCTGAAAAGCTGAAGAGCTGCCTGAGGAGCCTTCCACGCCATAAGAGCCCTTAGTATGACCCGTCCCCCTCACAATCACCTGTCATAAGCGACGAGGACGACCCCCGCACTCCGCTGTCCAGGGAAATCAAGGAGACTTGTCTCCTAGTCGGAATGCAGAAGCCCCCGATCCTGGCCACCTAGGATGGTACCACCGATCCAGACGACCATATTGAAAGCATCAATGCGATTCTTGACTGCAGGAATGTCCGGGGAGCCATCAAGTTCAGGCTCTGTCGCACGACCCTGAGGAAATGAGCTATGGCATGGTATAAAAGCGTCGAGCTCAAGTCCATCATCTCCTAGAGAGAGCTGAAGAGGCAGTTCTCTAGGCATTTCATCATTTCTCAGCGACACCCAAAGATGGAAGCATCCCTGGAAGCCATCATCCAAGGGAAGGAAGAATATCTCCTGGACTACATGGAGATATTCAACCGAGAAGCTGTACAAGTAGCCACCTCGGATGACATGAAGAGAAATTTGATCGAATGAGGAATGCGACCTTGCACTAAGTTTGCTAAGGCCGTCGGGATCGAAAGGCCTAACACGTTGGACACCCTCCTTCACAAGGCCCAATCATACATCCAGTATGAGGAAAATTTTGGTTGGTACCCACTATTTTTAAGTCCACCTTCGGCTGATAACCCTTTTACTATGGACATTCTTGCAGATTGTAAATTTCTGGTTTCTTTTGGTATTCAATCAACTTTTACCTTGAATGTTTGAAAGCGTTTTCTATTCATCCTTCAGGTCCAAGTTGTTTGAATAGGGGCAGCTGTAACACCCCAAAATTTATTCATCCTTTTTTCTCATCTTGGCTTATGTTTCATATCTCTTTTCCATTGTCATTTGTGCATAACATTGGTTCTCGGCAAGGGGATCAAAGTATTTGGGTCAACACTCAAGAGAAGATTTTCATCTTCGAAGATCAATCAAGGTTTCATGCTCAACTTTGTGGCAATATCAAGTCATAAGGTTCCCTCATCATCAAGACAGATCTCACAACCACTTGAGTCAAGGATTCAAGCATTGATCACCTCCTCCTATCTTGTGGACATTTGGACTAGGGTTTTGGTTCAAAAGGAATCTGTAGCTATTTCTTTAGGCAAGATATGATTCTAGAGCTCAATAAACATCTAAAGGGTTCTCTACATGGATTATGTGTCATCATAAGCCATCACAAGAGCTTCAATCAGTGGAAATGATCCTAGGATTTCACCTGGTCAACAAAAGTCAATTGTGGTTCAATGGGGTCAAAATTTTTGATATCAAGGTCAACCAAAGGTATATTATGTGCTTTCAAGTGATTTCATGTGCTTGGAACAAGAAAAGTCAAGAGGAAACATAAAATCAGGAGATTGGTTAAATTAGGGTTTTAGTGAAATTTTTCTAAGTGTTGAAAACCCTAAATTCTAGCCATTTTGCAACTTCCATAACTTTCTCATCCTTGATCTAAACTTGTTATCAAATTAAATAGGACATCATGAGCTACAAATTTGTGGAAGGAAGCAAGTCCAAAAGATCCATAGTTTGAGAGATATGATCGGCTAAAGTTGAGAAAATGGAG